ACGAACCCGTGTCCCCTGCATCGGCAGGCGGACTCTCAAGCACTGCGCCACCAGGGAAGCCCTTGATATACCTTTAATCCTCCAAAATTTTAGACAGTAACGTTAAGATTAACATCATTCAACAAAATAATCCAAACACTTTTTCTATGCCAGAAACTCTCATGGGTCTGTGGCCTTAGACACCTTTAATACATCTAGTTGGACTCTCAAGTGTTAACTTATATAGAAGAACACATCTAAAAATGGGATTTTAATAGCTCTACCTTTTATTTGGAAAATGTTTTAATTAGAGCATCTTCTGTAAGAGCTATGGGCCTAACCAGGCTCTTTTTTTTTTTTTTTTTTGAAGGGGTGTATGATCTATACTACAACAAACTTATATAAATCATTACTGGCATTCCACATTTTTTCCTCTAAAATGAAGTTTATTTCATTGGTTTTTTTTTTTTTTTTTTTTACTAGAAACAGCTATCTCCCTAGAACAACAGGCTTTCTTTATGTTCTATAGTCTTTTTCAGTTTCCAATGCGAAAGGCCAATAGGACCTGTGTGTCTCCAAAACACCTCCCTTATCTTGTTTTAGTTTTTGCTCAAATGCCCCCTTCTCAACATAGTTTTCCCTTGATCACTTCATGTAAAACTGCTTCCTTCTCCAGTCTATGTTTTCCTTATAGTTCTTAGCACCTTTTTCATAGCATAAAGCTTGCTTATTTATTCAGATATTTGCTTCAAATGTAAGCTTCATAGAGGAACAATTTATGTTTTGTCCATACTTAACCTCAAAGCTTAGACTTTTGGCTGGCACCTAGTAGGTACTCAATACATATTTGTCAAATGAATGAATAAATATGGTCCTTCTATCTGGAACACTTTCCTGTTCTTTATTGTTGCCTAATTAATTTCTACTAAATCTTCAGATCTCACTTAAGGCCACTTAGGTAGGCTTTTCCTTACCTTCTAGAGAAAGGTGAGTCATCTAGTAATACATGTATCTGTCACATTGAACTCATCATGGCCAGAAATTTACACTTAATTGCATTTAATTAGTGCAGGTCCAGGAGGGCAGGTGCCATGACTGTTGCCCCCACCCATCCCCACCATGGAAGTCCCAGCCGCCATCCTGGCACACAGCTGCTACTCAATACACGTTTGTTGACTGAAGAATTATGGTAGAGTTTAGTATCACACACTAATTCTAGCTACCCACCAAGCCACCACTAGCACCACTCTTCTGAACCTCAATCTGTAGCTAAACTCGCCCTTTTTCAGTCCCTTGAGGGTGCTATGCTCACTTGATACACTGTTTCCCCTTCCTGGAAACTGCATGTACCTCCACCAATCCCCTTATACACACACTTCATACAGTTCCCTCCAATGTGTCCTTTAGATCATAGTTTAAACATTACTTTACTAGGAAATCATTTCATGCCTTCAAGCTTCAGCTTAAGTCAGACTAATTTGTTGTCACAAAACTTTGTTCCTTTCCTTCACAGAAGTAAGTTACATTCATTTTAAATATGCTCATTTTTGTAAATATTTCATTAGTGCTTATTTCCTCTGTTAGACTGCAAGTACCAAGAGAGCAACTGCCATGCCTACCACGGCGACCACGGGTGACAAGGAATCAGCATTTGAATTCAAAGAGGGAGCCTGAGAAATGGCTACCACTGTTTTGAGGTTCCAAGGAAGGCAGCATGCTCACAAATTACTCATTTCTGACCCAGGAAGGTAGAACAAATTCTCTTTTTGTTCACTGTTTTACCTCTGCTACCCAGCATAATCCCTATGACACAGTAAGAACATTACAAGTACTCATAGAAAAAAATGAAAGAGGCATGGTAATATATTCCATGACTGAAGACTCCACATAAATTATGCAACTTAGTTTTTTTAGCCAAGCTATTTCTCAACAAAATTAGTTAACTGGCATCACTGCTTACAAATCAGGTTCTCTGTGTACTGATATCACAGAAACCTCTAAAGTTAAGGACAAGTTTCTGACCTGTGGTGACATTGCTGAGGGACAAGCTGAACCTCCGAGAGAATTAAATTAATTTACAAGAGACTGCACTTTTCAGAATATTATCCTTCATAAGTCATGCCATCTTTCAGAATCCCTAAGCATATGTTCTGACCTAACTTTCTTTTCCTTCAAACCTTTTAAAAAGAAGCCTTCTAGAAGCCTTTTAAAGTTAGAGAAAATCTAACTTATAATAGAGTTCAAAGAACTAAGTCAATACATGTAAAGATATTCCATGAGGAGTGTTTTTAGAGTTCTAACTCAAGATGGTAAGAACATCTCTCTGTCTGTTACTGAATTAAATCAAAGACTATCTTTCCTAGTTTTCCCCTACCTGTACCTCTTTACTAAAGACAACAGGGTATCCATTTTGAGGCTCTGGTACTTCAGCAAATTGGAGAGAAATGGATTAAGGCATTGTGGTGACATGGGAGGCCATGGAGGAGAAAGAAGGTGTGGGGTGAGCATTCAACACTAACAGGTCTTCAGGAATCAGCTATGGATGACCAGACCCTGCTTCAACAAAAGCTCTAAAGCATTCTTCTCAGGTTCCTGCCAGGTTTTTTTTTCTCCTTTTGTATTGAGTCCATATACCTTTTTCTCTTTTCTAAAATTCTTCCTATTACTTCTAATAGAATTCCTCAGGGCCCAGTATGAAACATGATAGCTCAGTCTCTGAAGCATACATAGAATTCTTGTCACATGCAGAGGATATTTGGGTTGCTGTTTAAGTGACTCCTCTAATGTATTTGTTTATCTGTCTTTTTATTCTTTATTATTTCTTCCCTCCTCCTCTTTTTCTACCAACTTCTCTACCTCTTCTCTTTCTTTATAAAAATTAAACAAGTTAAGACAACATTATATTACTTGCAAAGAACCTAAGAAAGAACCATCAAAATTCCAAAGTCAAATGAGAGCCCAGCATTCCAGGGCAATTCCAACCAATAGTTAAATAAGGCATAGAATTCAAGCATGGATTCCTCTGGGACTGATGGAATAGGAAGAAAGAAAGGCTAAAGCGGGGGCCTTCTCACCACTTAAGTCCTTTAACTCTGCTCTTTTAGACACTAGTCTAGATTATCTAAAAGTCAGGTAACAGTAACAGAAATGAGGGTTCAAAAGAGGAAAAGGGGTCGAGGGGAAAAGAGGCTGGGAGGCTACGGTCAACACTAATTAAGGGGGGAGGCAATCATATACAAATGTGGACTGACTTTGTGTGAACTGGGAATAGCCAATACATGTGCAGCTATCTTAGTAGATGTTTCTGGGTCAAAGAAATAAAGACATAAAATAAGGTAAAAAATGAAAGCAAATAGGATAATAAATATAGAAAAGCTTAGGGCCACCACTCTTAATTCATCCTACCTAAGATCTAACCCAGTCACCATCTGTGAATGCTATAGACTGTTTTTCAAGGTGGCCTAGTCCCACAGGCATCACACCTTGGAATAATTATATTCTAAAGCTAGTTGTATTAGGTCTTGTGGTGCCAAAGTGACTGTTTTTCAGTTGTTATTTTAACTGGAAATACTCTATGACTTAGAAAAGTCTCTGCCTTAATTTTTTTTAACCAGTCACCCTCCTAAACTCTGCCTCCCAGCCTTCTTTTATCTTTTCTGAACATTTCTAAGAAACACTGAATATTAGATTTTTACCCATCTGTAAATAGTCACAACACTGTTGTATCAGAACTATGGAATTCCGTAAAATGAGTGTAGCAGTGGCCTGTAAGTCCTTTAGCCAGTCGTGTGTGTGTGTGTCTGTGTACAACAAATCTGATCATATATGCAATGATACATTATAATATTGGGTGTCATAAACCTTTTTAGATCTGTAATCCCTGCAATTTCATTGAAACATAAGCAATAAACATGAATCACTAGTATATATTAAGTGCTCAACTGTAGCCGTTCAACAGTTTCGTCTTTTTCATTTAATGATGGAAAGTGAGATAATATTGTTGGAGACTGGCAGTCTAAAACAGTAACCTCAGGAAACGACATTTCGCTGGGATTAAAAAAAAAACACAATTCACACAAAAAGAGAAAAAAACAGAGATAAGCCTTTTTTATAGGTTAGGTAAGAGAAACTAGGTTTAGAAAAACCTTGGGCTTATAAAGCTATTTAAACCCACGTTGACTGGATCCTCAAGACGTGTTAGACTATTGGCTCCTAACTATCACAAAGGAAAGGCAAGCATGTAGTGGGTACAATGAATGCCTCAAATATAATCTGTGGTTGGGTAAATATGTGAATGTATGTGTCACATTCAGAATAATAAACTGTTGTTATTTTCCCTTAATGTTGATGTTTTGGTATATGTATATGTATATATGCTTTGCTGAAATTAAAAAAAAAACTTATAACAAAACTTTATCATTTCCAGTTAGGAAGTAAATATGAAAATATCCACATTATCCTTTATTAATATATACTAGTTATATTTCCAAGGACACAATTACTATGAGTCAGATTGAATGAGGTATTGAAAGGCTAAGTATCTCCTACAACAAAACTTCCATGATTTAAGCGTCCTGCTATGTCCTCATCGAGACTACAACTGAAGGCTTCCAGGAAAAAATACACTGAAGGTGTTAAATTTTTTCTTATTTGACTGAATGTGATCCTTTTTGTGTTTTCTTACCTTTGTCCTCTCTTAGACTGTAGGTTTGAAGAGAGCATAAATAATATTCCTCTGACCAGTTATCTAGCATGCTATTAAACTATAATTAAAAAACAGATCTGCATTTATGTATTTCCCCAAAGGCCAGGAAGCTAGTGTGAGCAAACAGTATATAATGAAAAGGAATTATGCACAAACATCCCACAAATGGGACATAATTTGAATTAGTTTAAATGAATACATTGCATTCTAAATATTTGTAATATACAAATTACATTTTAAATTTTCTAAATATTTTCTGAATTGCAATTAATTATTTTGAATGACATATTTAGTGTATTAAAGAAAATACTCTGACCTTAAGTTGTTTTTCCAAAGCAGCACTTGCATGATCGCCACTAGATTCATCAACCACCACCACCATGTGCGTGAGAGAATTCACCCTGACTTGTTCCTGTTCCAGGTCTTCTTGAAGCACCTGAAAGATAAGTTTTTTTAAAAAGGAAATTAAAATAATAGTCTCCTGCTCTGTATGCCAGAAACATTTCTTCCCAAATGAGTGTGATTTACTTCTGCCATGTTTTGGGTAATACAATTTTTTATTAGACTGGAATCATTTCAAGCAAATTTTTTGCTATGGTGCTCAGCAAAATTTGCACGTTTTTGTCAATTGAATGTGAAAGTATGTATAGAGAAAGCATCTGTTGAGAAAGGCATACTAAGATATGCTGCCCGTTACCCCACTTCCTCTCATTTTTTCAAGGACTTTTCTAAAATACCTGGCCACCTCAAGAATCTGCAATGTCTTCTTCTCTACAGTTTTCCATTATCAACCAAAACAAAACAAAACAAAACAAACTCTTGACCCAAAACACCCCTCCCGCTACTGCCTCATTATGTGTTCCTCTTCACTAAAAAAATTTTGTTTTCTACATTACTCTATTTCCTTACCCTACTATTCCCTTTACCCACTATCCCATTAAAACATCTCTTGTAAAGGGTGCCATCAACCTCCAGGTTCCCAAATCCAATAGCCATTTTTTGATAGCATCTTACTTGACATTTTGATTACTAACCTAATTAACCACTCCTTCATTCTTGATCCTCTCTTCTCTCTTCCTGAGCTTCATGTACCACCCTTGCCTGATTATCCTCCTACCTCACTAAGAACTGCTTTTTAGCTCCTTTGCTGGTTGGTTCCTTCTCCTCTGCTCAACTATAAATCAGATGACATTCCTCTGGATAATGGAGGAATGTCAATGGAGCCCCATCACACTAAGAGGAAAAATCCAAATCCTTGAACCTGAAATCCTTATATGATCTAGCACCTTCCTGCCTCTCTAATCTAACTGCATACCATTCTTGCCCTCTGACACTATGTTTCAGTCATACTTGTCTTCTCTCTCTTCCACACTGTGTCAAGCTATTTGCTCTACCCCAATCGCTCTTCCTCTGTATCTTTAAATAATCTTTCATTCTTATCATTCAGGACTCAGTTTAAGTGTCACCTGCGCAGAGAGGCTTTTCATGAAGATGCTATCTAAATTTGCTTCTTAGTTACTATTTCTATAACTTTTTAAACATAACACTTTCACACTCAGATTTTTCTTATGTATTAGTTTAGTCATTTGTTGTTTGTCTTTACTTACTGAAATATAAGATCCACTAGAACAGAGATGCCCCCTGTCCTTCTCACTACATATTCCAAGCAACTAAAAATAAATAAATAGTTAAATAAATAGCACCATGTGGAGGGGTGAAGGCAATATTCACAGGTGAGTTTGACCCTTCCTGACTGCATAAAGATTACAATCTAATGGGTGAGATTCTTTTTTTTAAGTGTAATTACAATTATACTATCAAGCACATATAACCCAAAACAGTATTCCAATCTTTTAAAAATCACAGTGTATATATTTTTTTGTAAGGATAAACAGGGGTAAACAGAGGAATAAACAGACAGTAAACAGAGGAGGACTAAACAGAGGAGGCTGCTCTAGACCCAAGACACCCTGCTTGGGAGATCCAGTTCCTCCAGGACCTTATCACACTATACTAATTATTACCTGGAAATCCCTAAATGAGTATGTAAAATTCCTAGTCATCTAGTCTGCCTCTTAGAACATGTTATTATATAATACAAGAATGAAGAAGCAGGTTTGGGACAAAGCCTGTTACTTTCTAGAAAACCTGGAATCCCTACTTGTGAAACAATGATGCCTGGCACCTATCAGACTAGCTCTTAGTTATTCGAACCCTATGGCAGGCATAAGGGAACCTATTAGAATTACCTACATCACAAACTCAGATGTTTGAGCATTTTTATCCTAGGACTTTTATTTTTCAAGTCTCAACATTTTAGAGCACTATATAAAATCACTTACTTTTACTTCCTCTCTCCAGACTTTCACAGTACATTTTCAAGTGAAGCAATTTAAAATAAAATGACTATGCACCTATTTTGTGTGTGGAGTCTATACTGCCTATCACACCTTTGACATTCCAGAGCTTACACTGGTTAATAAAACTCTTTCTGCCATGAGGCTGAAAATGGAAACATTAACATTCAGAGTTGCCCTTGAAAGTCATGTTAAGTCTGTGTTTTCTGAGTTATATAAGCTAGGACTGGGAACATTTCAAATGTGTCAGCAGGATTTTTAAAAATAATAATTAAAATAATATCTTGGTGGCCAATATATCATAAATTGGTTTAATTTGGCCAATTCTTTTTTCCTATCACTCAAGTATAAGAGTATATTTAGGGCCTCTCTGGTGGCGCAGTGGTTGAGAGTCCGCCTGCCGATGCAGGGGATACGGGTTCGTGCCCCGGTCCGGGAGGATCCCGCATGCCGCGGAGCGGCTGGGCCCATGAGCCATGGGCGCTGAGCTTGCGCGTCCGGCAACGGGAAAGGCCACGACAGTGAGAGGCCCACATAAAAAAAAAAAAAAAAAAAAAAAAAAGGAGTATATTTAATTACATATATTAAAGACAATTAGGAAATAATGCTATACTATTCACATTTTTTATATTTTTATTGTTTTCATATGTTTTAGTAAAGGAAACAGAAAATCATTGTTTGAGCCATGAGGTACTTATTTGGAAACTCAGGTTGCATCTTTCTAAAGCATATGTGATCAAATATACTAGTTATTTTCTCCAGTACTTAGATTTCTGGTTTTGTTTTGCTTATCTATTTGTTCTATAACCAGAAATTATATTCTTGCCATAGTGATCAAGGGTTTACATGTTATGCTTTTGCTGACGTGCTAACACAAAGTACCACTAAAGCTAGTTGTGAGTTAATAGCTTTAAAATCAAACATGAGAACCATCTGAACTTACACTCAGTAGAGGTAAATAAAGGAATATGGGAAAGGTTCTCAACAGTGGATGAAAATCTCGAAGAATGCATAGCACTGCCGTAAATTAGCATATACTCTATTTGATTTAAGTCATTTCCAGTATCTCCTTTTCTCTTCTATGACTTTTTCAAATTATATCATTTCTTCTACTCCTAATCAGGGATTAAAACAGAAAAGCTTAAACTGACCTTTCTAAGCATACTCAATAGCTGCAAGACAGAGCTATTGCAACACTGTAATCATTTCCTATTTTCCCAGACCTCAGCTCCAAAAATAAATATTAATAAATATCACGGTATTAGCTAATCCCCTTATTATTTGCAAAAGACAAAAGACTATAAAATATCCAATGTCCAGAATTCATTTTTTAAAATGAAGTTGATTCTTAGAATTAGCAAAAATGCCATACAGAAAATGGTTAGCTTAAGAAGTTAAAACTTTCTGCCAACCTATGTATCCATGAATAAGGGCCTTGATCATTGGTATAAAGTACACCCTCCTGCTTCCCTCTTTGAGAAAACATGGATTCTCAAGGCAACTAATTTTTAAAGTACATAGACGTTTTAAAAGCTATTTTACAATTAATTTTTAATTAAATATTTACTTCTTATGGATTTGAATTTCTCATACCTGGATTTATACAATGGAGGTTTACAGTTGATTTGCTAATTAAACTGAAATATGAGCCAAATTATTCCAAATACAGATGTATCTCCAGAGAAATACACTAAAATTTTTGCCTATCACAAGAGAATGTCTTCAGGTTAAAATACTGAAATATATGATTGTTAAAGTCTGTTTTTCTTTATTAAAAGAATATAAATTATTTACACAGAGATACCTACTAGGTATTTTATTATGTATTTCTTGTATTTTTCTTAGAGTAATGCATTTGTTACACTTATCAAATTTAAAGAAAATCTGTCATGCTCCTAATTAAATTTCTATACCATTATTAGATACAAATGTCAGCAATGTTTGTTTTCTAATGTCAACTAACAATCCTTTTTTTCCTTATGACAAGAAAAAAGGCCAACAGTGAAATTTAACATTAAAAATGCTTAGATTTGACCAACTTAGATTTTGTTATACCTCTGTATAACAAATAATTCTATTTCTTATAAATTATTCTCTAGTTAAAGAATCTTACCAAATTTGTTGTTCCTTTAGTACATATTCACATCTTACGATTTAAATATGACTTTTCTCTATTTCCTTCAAATGTTTCAATGGTACCGAATTCTTGCTCTGACCCATGACAAGTTGGTCTTCAAAATCTGGCTTAGGACAACCACTGAAGAGTCACTTCAATGTTTACTTCAGACTTATGCTATTTTATCCTTTCTTAGCACACATGTGAAATACTTTTTGGAAAATAAAGGCATGGAAATATGTAAGGCTAGGGAATTATTAGATTTGACACTTAGAGGTGAAGAACAAAAATTAATAGAAAGGTAGAGTAACAGAAAACAAAAACAAGGTTGGATCTCCAGTAAGTTCTATAGGAGGGTATACAATACTTCCCTTGGTCAGAGTATATGCTCAACAACATGAAACAGGAAAGGACTGTGGTTGCCTATACGCATAGTTTATTACTACTTCTACTTCAGTGATTAACCAACAGGAAATGACCAACACTTGCAGGTCCTACACACACACACACACACACACACACACATACACACACACACACACCCCTAGAAACAACACAGATCATGGGTTATGCTTGGATTCTAAGGCCATCTACTCCCACATATCACTTTAAATTAATATAATTAAAATATGCTTAGTAAACTATTAAGTTTAAGTGATTTATAGTTTTTAGCTTAGCTAAAAAAATGTACACAAAAGGAAAGACTGATGAGAACAAAATTTGAATTGAATATAAAATGTGCAAAAACTTAAGAAACCAGAAGAGTTTCTACAAACATGGGATAAGTCTAACATTTAGGAAAGTACTATCTTAGAAAATCCAGCTCAGGAACCAAAAAATCCCTAGATACTCATAAACAATTAGCTAATGCAATACATCTGGATGTGAATTGATTTTATTTTCAAATAAAAGCATCCCAGGCAAATCAGAAAACTTTATGATTTCTTAGGGAATGATGGGGGG